ACACCGACCCCTGAGGAATGCTGTTGTCACCAGTCTCCACTTGGACGTTGAGCCTTTGACCACCACTCTCTGACCATCCAGCCAGTTCTTTATCCACCGAGCGGTCCATCTGTCAAATCCATGTCTCTCCCGCTTCGAGACAAGGATGTCATGCGGGGACAGTATCGAAGGCTTTGCACAAGTCCAGGTAGATGACATCTGTTGCCCGTCCTCTATCCACCCGCCAGAGTCGTGACCCCATCGTAGAAGGTCACCATATTCATCAGGCACGATCTGCCCTTGGTGAAGCCATGTTGGCTGTCACCAATCACCTCCTCATTCTCCATGTGCCTTAGCATGGTTTCCGGGAGGATCTACTCCATGATCTTGCCAGGCACAGAGGTGAGACTGACTGGCCTGTGGTTTCCTGGGTCCTCTTTTTTCCCCTTTTTAAAGATGGGGGTTATGTTATGTCCCCCCTGTGCTGTTCTGAGTGAGGAGGAAGAGACATCAGGAGCAAAACTGAGCCTGGAAAGAGGGGAGGGGTGGAGGGAAGGTGTTTAAAAATTTGATTTTGGTTCTATTCTACTCTGATTTGACTGGTAATAAATTAAATTGATTTTGTCCAAGTAGAGTCTGTTTTACCTGTGATGGTAATTGCTGAATGATCTCTCTCTGAGCTTATCCTGACCCATAAGCCTTTTGTTAGATGCTTTTCTCCTCTGTCCAGCTGAGGAGAGGAGTGACAGAGCAGCTCTGATGGGCAACTGGTGTCCAGCCAGGGTCAACCCAGCAAGGTATGTCTAATATATTTCAATTTAATGCACAGTGATTTTTTTTTTTTCCCCTCTCTCTCTTGCTGCAGGAACCTCCAAGATGAATACTACTGCAGTAAGCCCGCTCACTGTTACTCCACTAGGTTTTGTTCCAGACTTAAATGCCACACTTGTGCCTCTCAATGAGACTGCATGTGAAAACTGGAAAGAGATTCATCATCTTGTTTTCCATGTGGCAAACATTTGCTTTGCAGTTGGACTGGTTATTCCAACTACTCTGAACCTTCATATGATCTTTCTGCGAGGCCTGCTCACCATAGGTAGGAGAATTATTCTAGAGAAGTTTGCAACCTTCCTGTGACAGAAATAGCAGTCTGTAACCATTGTGGGCCTTTGTCCTGGTCCTTTCAGCTTACAGTGAAATTTCAGTACGTATTCATGATCGTTTTACTGTGCTGAAGGTGTTTTTGGTGTAAGTGGGGGTGTTCTGACCCTGATAACCTTTTCTAGGAAGGTTGTATGTTTCTAGGCTCTCAAAACTTTACAGAATTACAACTTTTATCTTCAGACCTGTGTAGATTATTGGCTAGAAACAAGTGGACCCTGTTTACTTCAGACATGACTGCAGCAGATCAAACAAAGTCTGGTTCCTGGGGATCTGTCCCCTTTTCTTTGATGACCCTGCCCCACCTTCATGCTGCTCCACAATATCCCTCACCTTTACTACTTCCAGGCCTCATATCCTACTGTCTGTTGTAGTCCAAGTAGCTGATCAGGATTCATCACACTGGGATTTTTCTGATCCGTACGTTAGTGCTGCAGGTCAGCAGCCTGGACAGAATAGATAATGCTGAATTCATGAACTCAGCATTGTTTCCAGGGAGAAAGTGAAAGGGACACTAACTTGACACCTTGTCCTTGTTGACTTTGCTTGAAACTTAAGAGAAAATATATCTGTGCCTTTACAGCCATCCCTATCAGATGGTAGGTTCACAGTTATCTGGGCGAGACTCACTGGTGCATAATCTATCATTTGATAAGTATTGTCTTCGTAGGCTAAAAATAGTATCCCTAGTCATCCAGAATGAATAATGAAAATTGCTTTAAAAGATAACAGGCAAAATAAAACAACTAAAAAAAAAAAGGGCCATTTGAAATTTTCTCATGTCATAGAAGAGAATTTGGGTTCCTGCTCTGACCTTGTCAAAATGCAGCAATGATGGTTCCTTTAAATTTGAAAAAGTATCTGTGTATGACTTGGAGGTTTTTTTTTCTAGTCTCTTGCTTGCCTAATTAATGCAATACTACTAATAAAGTTTTTTGTGAGCTACTTAATGCTCTTCTTTTTTTGTGTTTAAGATACAATCTTCCCAAATGCCTTTTCTGCTTTGTTTTAGTAACAAACTCTCATGGGCTGCACTGTTCTGCTTTTCCCCAGCCTGGTTCTGAACTATCGTTGCTCCAGGATTGCAGTCCCGTGCAGTAGGACTGCTGTCAGCCATCTCTCCGTGCCTGTTTGCAGCGTTGTAGTGATTAGCTTTGCTACCATTTGCATTGATCCACAGAGCCTAACTGTAGTAAAATTTGTAGAATACATTGCTTTTCAGTGTAATTACACCCAGTGGACGCATTCTTGATGACTTTGTACAAATGTATTTATTGTTCAGTGAAATTTTAATTTCCTTTTTTTTTAATTTTTACAGGATGTGCATTGTTCATCATTTGGGCTACACTCTACCGTTGTGCCTTGGACATAATGATTTGGAATTCTGTGTTTCTGGTTGTCAACCTCTTACATTTCATATACCTACTGTATAAAAGAAGACCGGTATGTATAACAGCTAAATTGCACAAGCAGTCTAGTAAGATGCAAGAAAAATGGAAGTTTTGCCTATGTTTGCTGGACAGACGAATGAATTCCATGGCAGTTCTTCAACTAGACAGAGGTTGTTTTGGACTGAGTCAGTTAGCTCCTTCAGGAAGGATCTGGACCATAATTATGATCAGATTCAGTACACAACTATTTCCTGAAATCCATTTCCTTGAAAAATGATTTGACTTTAGAACTTACTCTTGGCTGGTTTTGGCTGTTGTGTTTGTGTTTGGTTTTGTTCTGGTGGTAAGGAAGGGTTTATATTGTTTACTTGCAGAGATACCAGGAATGGTATTTTTGGGTTTGTCTCTGTTCAGGGATTTTTGCTGTCATTTTCCCCACCCTCCTACCCACAGGAATACAGGCATACAGACCTCCTGAAGTAAAATCCCACCAAGATACTTAAAAAGATCATTCTGGGGCAGGACTTTCTTGAAACTTAGAAGTTTGGGAGGGATCAGACTATCCTACCTCACTTAAGTATTGAACATCCTCTGTGGTAGGAAAGGAGATTGGACATCAGTACTTGCAATCCAAATTATCCATTTATAAATGACCCTCACACTTTTTGTTTCGCTGACAAGTACTTTAGCCCATATGTATTGTAATCCCACATTCCTTTTAAATACAAATGAGAGGCGAGATGCTACTACCCTTTTTGAACATCTGTGGGACTGTGAGATAAGCAGCAAAATTAAGGTGTGGGAAGAGCAGTATTAAGTAATATGATCCTTTCTTTGGTTCCATTAACGCATTCATTGAGTTTTGAGGGTCATGTCTGGGAATTTTGCAACTCCTTATGTTTTCTTCAGAAGGATGCATTGGGATAACTTTCTTCAAATGGACTCTAAGAGTATGTTTTAAATATGTACTAGAAATACAGGATTCTTTGCCTGCCTTTAGCTAAATGTATATCCAACAGAAAATCAATTTACTTTGTTAGCATCACTCATCTGGAAATATATCAAGTTTCTGAAATTATTAGCAACCCACTCTTCTGTTGGTATATGCACATTAAAACTAGATAATATTTAATATAATAGTTGCTGTTAATGTGCCAGTCAAATATTAGTGAAGTGTTAATTGTTCAGAATGTTAATATTATATTCTGTAGTGTCCAAAATCTAAGCCAGATAGATTCATACTGTGAAGATTTCAGGAATGTATATGAGATTACATTATCAGCAGAATAACTCTGCCTTTGCCCAACATCAGACACATTCTGGAAGTGTGTAACAGCTGGCACCAAAATAAAAAATCCGCACTAGCTGGAAGTAAGCAATGCAAGTCAACACAGCCTGTGCAAGAAAGCAGCTAGGAAATTACAACCTCCTCCTTTCCTGGTAAGGCAGCATAAAGCTTCACTTCTGTCTTGCCTAGAAGATAGCTTAAAACTAGCTAGGCTCATCTACTACTAGACATTTACAGATAGGTAGTAAATATTTCTAGTAATTTAAATTGCTTTCAGAGAGTAATCTGCCCAGTTAAAGGGTAGATTGTATTTTAGTTTCTTGCTGTTGCTATTGTTTTAGCCTATTCAATCTGTTTGTCATTATCAAGATGCAGTAGCATGCTGAAACTGCACTGTGTTTCTGCTGGTCAGCCGTGACCACGCTGTCCAATGCACCACACAGAATAACACTTGTGATAATGTACAACCAGTGAAGCCACACTCTGCATGTTTGTGTCTGCAGTTAGATATCCTGTGCAGGTACTGGGGTTTTCAATATGAATCATAGAATCACAGAATG